GCATGTGTATGCATGTGTCCATCTATTTCAGTTTAGTGCCATGCATGCATGCATATGAACACCAAATGTCAGTCTCTAGTGTTCCTCCCCAGCTGCTGTGTTTCTTTTCTCACTGGGGTTTGCTGATTGGGCTAAGCTGGCTGAGTAGTGTGCTCCAGGGATCTGCCTGTCTCCCCCTCTCCAGGGCTGGGCTTACAAGCATACAGCACTGTGTTGGCTTTTGACACACATGCTAAATCATACCCCTCGGACCCCAGCATACATTTTAAAACATTATTCTGTTCATTTCATTTTGGGTGGAAGCTACACGTGTGGTTATAGATTCATTGTAAGCTTCATGAGCATTTCTGAGAAACATGTGTTAGAGGGCACACCTGGGATGAGCCCCAACCCTGGCATCGACTCTCTGACCTATCTTGATCTTTCAATTCATTTTCACCAACCAAAGACAGTCCAAGACTTAATGGCGCAAATCCTCATGACTCCTAATTGCTTGTGAGTTCGTGGGTCAGCAAGGTGGTTCCTCTGGGCTAGACTGGACTTCTTCATGTATCTGTGGTCAGCTGCAGGCTGGAGACAGCAAGTATTCTGATATAGGCTGGGCTCTGCCAATGTCCAGGCCTCAGTTGGAATTGGGCTTCACTCTCACAGGCCTCCTGAGAAGCTGGCCTGATCTTGGATGTGTGGCAGTGGTCAGGTTCTCAAAAAGCAGATGAAAGTGTGTATGGTCTCTTGCAGCCCAGGTTTAGAACCAGCCCGCCATCTTTGGCCGGCATTCCCAGTCCACGTAGACAACAAGGCCAGTAAGGGAGAAAATAGATTCCCCTTTCAGTGAGAGAGGGTGCTGTCACTTTGCAGAATGACAGCAGTGTAACAGGTAAGGAGGGATAGAAAACTCTGGTCATCCTTCCACGATGGTTGTCTGAATGAAAATGGCCCCACAGGCTCATAGGGATGGGTACTATTCGGAGGTGTGGCCTTGTTGGTGTAGGTGTAGCATTGTTGGAGGAAGAGTGTCCCTGGGGGCAGGCTTCGAGGTCTCAGAAACTCAAGCCAGGCCTAGTGTATTTTGCATTCTCTTCCTGCTGCCTGTGGATTTAGACGTAGAACTCAGATAACTCTCCAGTATCACGTCTACCTGCGTGTCAACACACTTCCTGCCATGACGACAATGGACGAAACCTCTGATCTGTAAGCCACCCCGATTAAATGGTTGCCATAGTCATGGTGTCTCTTCACAGCAATAAAAACCTTAACTAAGACAGCCACCACGTGTGGGCAAGCTTTTGGGACCTCCGAGGTCCTCAATGGCTTCATCTATACGACAGTGACAACGTCTCCCATCTCAGAATTGTGACAATTCAGTGGCTGGTGCCTGGGAAGACCCTGCTTCTAGCATAATGACTGTTACTCTGTGTGCTTCTTCTACTTGTTCATGTATTTCTTCTTTTGCTTTTTAAATCAACTTTTTATGCTTAAAACCAGGCTCAGGGGCTGGAGAGATGGCTCAGAGGTTAAGAGCATTGCCTGTTCTTCCAAAGGTCCTGAGTTCAATTCCCAGCAACCACATGATGGCTCACAACCATCTATTTAAATATAAAAAATTAAAAAAAAAAGAAAAGAAATTAAAAAACCAAAAAACCAGGCTCATTATCAACACCACCATGGCTCTGAACTGTCTTGAGTACTGCCTTCTCCTTACACCTATCAACCCTCATACTGAACAAGTTCTGAACGACTTCTTTTTGCTCCTGTCTTTCAGTCTTTGTTCACAAGCTCAGCAACAATCTTGTGTATTTCAGAGGTTGCACTTAGGGGAGGAAATTGCTTTCGCTCAGTGCAGTTAATAAAGCCTGTGTGACTCATCTTCCTCCCTGGGTACTGTGACTCCAAACTGGCTGAAATGGCCTGAGGGAACCTCAAGAGGCCTCCCTTGGAGTGTTCCCACATTTGTCTCCATTGCCACAGTCAGATGCACTGAGGTGCAGTGGGCTCTGGCTCCTGCTTCCCAGCCCCTGAGGAGAGGTCACCCTTTGCTATTCCTTGAGGTCAGTGGTGGCTTCAGGTAGAGTCCTGGAAACCAGACAACAGTCGGTAAGCAGCACTCCCTTGCGGGGGCCCTGGAGACCAGGCAGCAGTCCGTAAGCAGCACTCCCTTGCTGCATCTCAGCCCTGATTAGTGGAGAGAATTACAGTTTGCTTTCACACCTTCTACAACTCGCTAGCTTCCCTTTTTAGCAGAGTCTCCCAAGTTCTACTACCAAGAGCACCCCAGCCAGACGTAATGATCCTGCGGGGCTCTATGGTTTTTACTTTCACGCTTTCTTTCATAGTCCCTGATCCTAGCTTCACAGTTTCTTGGTGGTACTATATGTTTCCTTCAGAACCACATTTAACCAATACAAAGGAATCGGCTTAAAGGAAAAACAGCCTTACGTAAAGAATCGCGTGGGTGAACCCGCAGGGCAAAATAAAGTAGGATGCTTCAAAGATCAGCGCTGTAAGCTCATCTAAGAAAAAAGTCTTGTAGCTACCAGCTAAAACAGAAGCTTCCTTTCACTGGAAAGAAAATACTCAGAGCAGAAGATGTAGCTTGCAGAATGCTTGAGTAGGATCCATAGAGCCCTGGGTTCAGGCCCCAGCACCACATAAACCAGGTGAGGGGCATCTGTAAGCCCAGCGCAGGAGGTAGGCAGGACAATCAGAAGTTCAAGTTTGTCTACATATTGAGTTCAAGGCCTGCCTAAGACCCTGTTTCAAAGACAGTAGTAGACAGCTGGGCTTGGTGCCTCCTGCTTGTAAGGCAACACTTTTGGGCTTTGTGGCTCAGCACTTGGGATGCTAAGGCAGGAGGACTGTGAGTTTAAGGCTAGCCTGGACTACATTGAGAGCTCTTGTGTCTAATAAATATTGAATTCATAGTTGTCTTCCTCCCGTTAGATGCCCCAGCAGTTTGATGAGTCAGCCATGGTCTGCCGCTGCATGTGTGTAATACCTGTGCCTCCCCAGCCTTGGACCCCCAGCTTCTCAGTGAAGGGCTGTGAGGCCTGACACTGCTCTCCTCCGTGGGGAAGGACTGGCTACCAGTGACTCATAGTCATGCTTTGCCTGACAGCGTCACTATCACAGGGGGTGGTGGAGCACTAGTTGTAGTTGTGGGGTAACAGTAGCAGCCCCAGTCATGGGAGTGTTGGGGGGGGGGGAGCCGAAGCAAGAGTATCAACCGCACTGAGCACCCAAGGGAGGCCCGATATTCACGTCACCCTCATCCCTGAGTGCATTTGGTTCTCACCATGACCCTGAAGCGGCCGACATTTTCTAGTGTCCACATTTTGCAGATGCCGACATTGAGGCTTAGCAAGGGAACAATAAGCAAGCCAGCACCGCACAGATGCGAGTCTGCAACACTTAGGTACGCCTGGCCTTCCAGGACGACCCCTCCCACAGGGGTCCCCTGAGTGCACCTTTTGGAAAGCCCTTGGAATGCTGCCTCCGGGTGTGTAACTGAAGGGAATTCTGAGGCCGCTTGAATCTTTAACTGATGTCTCGGCCATGTGCAAATCTGCTTCTCTTCCATCTGCATCCCCCAGAAAGTCAATAAAACAGCGGAGAAGGATCCTGTCTCTCCGGCACCCCCAGCCCCACCAGTGCCGTCTGAAGCCTTCTGCGCTGAAGAGACGAGATTCAGATGGAAAAGTGCTGGCACCAGGTTGAGCAGGGTTCTCTAATAAAGACACTGCGCATCACACATCAGCTGCCTCTGTTGCTATGGTGACAGCCACAATTCCTCCCAGACAGCTCGGGTCTGCAGGGAGGGTGGACCCTGGGGGAGCAAGTGTATTTCTCCAACCTGTCAGACCCTGTCACCTTTCCTGTTTCTCTCACCTCTCCCACCAGCGTCCCCCCCACTTCCTTCCATAGGATGACAGGGGCACTGGCACCCCCAGGCCGTCATAATTAGCATCTGGCTGGGAGCCCAGAGTTCTGGCAGCACATTCCTCACTTTCCTTGCCAGCCAATCTCCTTTCCCCAGCATCCCTTCAACAGCACTGCAGCAGCTGTGCGCAGACAGCCCCAGCCCCAAGGTCACCACGGCACCAGCAATGACGAAGCATCCCCTTCCTCCCTGGGTGGGCATGGCCCCAGCTGATGCTTCCCTGTTGCCTGAGCCATTTGGAGGTTATAACCTTAGGGTTATGGAAAAAGAAGCTAGCCTTAGGAAGATGGAGAAGGCTAAACTCTGTCTAGTACTTGGAGGGGTTAAGGGATTCTTCTGGCTGAGATTTACCAATTAGGTTCAGAGAGAGAGAGAGAGAGAGAGAAGGAGAGGGAGAGAGGCGGCAAGATATCCCCAGAAGGTTGAGGAAGTAATCAAAAAGTCTGTATGTCAATATTCCTTGAAGTTTAAGGGGCAAAGATGGCGGTGGCAATAACAGCCAGAGAGCTAGTTGCTATGGTGACAACAGCAACTCTTATGGAAGCTGTGTTCCAGGCACTGTACTGAGCACTTTACAAGCATTAGTTTGTGGAGTCCTGACCTTGACTGCATGTGTAGAAAACTACGTGGAGCTACTCTGGTCCCTTCCCAGAAGGGAATACAAGGCCAGGAGGAGATAGCTCTCATTCCCTAGCAAGCAATTGAGCGAGCCGAGAAGAGGTACGCTCTGCAAGATGAGTCCCCTAGATCCTTCCAAATCCAGTGTTATTTACAAATGGGTAAACAAAATTTGCTGGAAGAAAAAAATATTAAGAGACATAAGAAGGGGCTGGAGAGATGGCTCACTCAGTGGTTAAGAGCACTGTGGCTCTTCCAGAGGACCTGGGTTCAATTCCCGGCACCCACACGGCACAACTGTATGTTACAAGGCAGATCACAACTGTCTGTAACTCCTGTTCCAGGGACCCAACACACTCACACAGACATACATGCAGGCAAAACACCAATGTACATAAAATAAAATGTAAAGAGAGAGAGAGAGAGATAAGAAATGTGGTTTATTCCACCAGATTGGAGCCTGACTGGAAGAATTCAAACCACCATAAAGAACCTTGAGGGATATTTGATGGAACACAGACTCTACGGAGAGACAGCAGCAGGAGGTCACTGCCAACGTTCCTTGAATGGGATTCTGGCGTTGTGCTTATGTTGGAGAATACTATTTTTTGGTGATACAGGTCAAAATATCTAGGGAGATGGACAAAGCCTTTAATTACGGGCACACATGATGGTGTCTTACAGAGCAATACAGGGACATACGTATTGTGTAACAAGGAGAGCACAGTATTGACAGTGGTTGAATTCAGGCAGGCCGAAAGGAGGGAGCATGGGCCGCATGTGTCCAGGTTAGCTAGCCTGTGTCCCAGATGATGCTGGATTGCAGCGTCAAAAGCTTGGGCATAGTGAGACGGCTCAGTGTTGTTCAAGCCAGGTCCCTTCAGTCTGATCCTAGAACCTAGAACACCGTATTGTCTGTCAGTTAGTCTACCTGCCTGCCTCTCTCCCTCCCTCCCTCTCTCCTTCCCTCCCTCTCTCTCTCTCTCTCTCTCTCTCTCTTCCTCTCCCTCTCCTTCCCCCTCCTCCCTCTCTCTCCTTCCCTTCTCTCTCCGTCCCTCCCTTCCTCCCTCCCTCCCTCCTTCCCTCTCTCTTCCTTCTTCTCTCTCTCTCTCTCTTCCCCTTCCTCCCCCTCCCTCCTTTCCTCTCTTTCCTTCCCCCCTCTTCCTCCCTCCCTCCTTTCCTCTTTCTTCCTACCTCCCCCCTCTCTCTCTCTCCACACACACACACACACACACACACACACCACAAAGAAACGAAATAAAATAACTATTAAAAGGCTGATTCCCCAAATGGCTCACCACCGGGCCATCACCAGCACACTGTCACACATGCTCTCATAGGTCTTTCTTTTAGGTTTCTGCACCTGTGGAAATGATCCTGAAAAGCCTGAAAAAGGAAACCAGAAAAAGGCCGGTTTAGCAGCAGCCCGGAGCTCAAGGTCACACAGCTGCTATTCCAGCTCACACTCCTGTCCTCAGCTTCAGAGCTCTTCCCAGGGAGAGGCCTGCACTCACCCGGGGGAGCCTGCTCTGTTTGCAGGGGAGCCAGGGGAGCCACAGGTTGTAGTGGCAGCAAAGAGGATGGGGTGCGAAGAGCAAATTCATTCTAAGCCTCCAAAGCTCTGAAACAGCTTTTCTAAATACTCACTTTCCAGTAGAAGGCTATTTTAGGTCTGGTGCTTATAAATGTCCACTTTATATTTCCAGCATATGATTCAAATTGTTAATAGGGCTGAGCACGGTGTGGCTCAGTGACAGAGCACATGCTTTGAGTGCCTAACTCCCTGGGTTTAATTCCTTGGCACCGAAGAATAAAATAAGTGAATAACTAAATATAGTATTAAATGATTCCAGTGAACCTCAGTCTGGGCCTCCATAGAAAGGGACTTGCAGCGTGACAGAGCCCGGATTTGAGATGGAGATGGGGTATCTGTCCCTCATTATTGCAATAGAACTACACAGAAAAGCAGATAAATTCCTTAAAATGTTGATTGCAACGGATAGTGAGGTTTCATAAACCAATCCGTGCAAACCTTACTTATTCTCTTAAAATACAAATCCCCCACCCCCCCACACATACACTCCCCATGGTCCGGATCTGCACAAGCATGTTAGAACAGTTGTCTCATAAAGGGTCACAAGAAATGTTACAGAAAGGAAGCTAACACAATCCAATGTCTTCAATCAACGCTACTGACTCCACACAGTTTTCTGAGTCCTCAGGAAAAAAATGGGAAATGAAGAAACAGAGAGTCTGCAGATGGACAGGGATGACATATTGGAATGGGCAGAAATGTACAGAAAGATGTGTTTGCGTGAAAAATAAAATCAAAGCCATGATTCTCAATATGTATTACTAAGTGCAAAGGGGAGCTGAAGAGGGAGCGTTACTAAGAAGAGCTTTTATGACATGGAAATTATGACATTTTTATCTGGAAAGCAAGTAAAAATGAAGATACTGTTGCCGGGGAGGTAGCACAGGCCTGTCACCCCCAGAACTCGCCAAGACTAGCTCCAGGGTGAATGCCTGAAGTTGCTCTAGGTCCTAGAGTCTAGGCCATGGGTGCATTTTAACTAAAAGATTTGTTTCAGAGGGTAGGAAGATGTGCAATGGTAGCTTGCTAGCTGTGCAATGCAAACCTGAGTCAGGGTCCTCAGCGCCCACATAAAAAGCTGGGCACAATGGCACTCACGTGTGTAAGGGGAAGGAGAGTGGAAACATGATAGTCCCAGGGCTTGCTGGCCAGTCCGTCTAACCTAACATATGAGCAATGAGTGATCTGTCTCAAAAGACAAGGAGGCCATCTCCGCACTCGCCACTCAGGGACCAGCTTTGTGAACTGTCTTTGTACTATAAGGTGAGCCTTAACTCTCCCATCCACCCCTGTCATTATCTCCGTGGGCCCACCTCAAACCACTTTTACTCATGGGCCCTCTTTGCTTGATAAATGTAGCTCTCACCTCTCATCCAAAAAAAAAAAAAAAAAATCCTCACTTTTCGGCAGAGAGCATCATAGACAGAAAGCCACAAATGTTCAAGATCCAGAGAGCGACTAAGTGTGGGGTGCCAGCCCCAGTGAACATCTCTACAGTGCAATCCCTACTCCTCAGGCTCAGGGAACATCTCAAGAGGAGGCAGAAACATAGTGAGAACCAAGGACTGTGACCTTTGTTGCGGGATCATGTCTCCTAGAAATGCCCAGGAAACTGTACCCACTCGTGATACCACAACAATGTGGCTGCCTAAACAAGACCTGAGCCAGGACAACAGCAATAGATTGTTAAATCTAAACAATAGATTTCCAAAGTGGGAGGGGGTAAATCTCATGGGGCCCCCCACCCCTTGACAAAGAACTTCAGGAGCTAATGACTGCCAATAGAGGGGGAATTAGTCCTTCAGGGGTGAGTCCCCTAATTAATTACCCAGTATCATGTGGTCAGCCCCGAAATCATATGCACCCCAGCATTACTAAACAGATTCTTTCAACAGGTTGTATTTATACATTTATGCATATGTAACCATAATAAAGGAAAAGAGGACGTGAGTTGGAGAGGGAGGGGAGGAAAGAGAAGGGACGTGTGATGTAATTATGTTTTAATTGAAAACTGTAAATTACTCAGAAAAAAAAAACAAGATGGAGGGCAATCAAGAAAGCCATTGTCAACCTGTGCTTTCCACGTCCACACACCCAGAGGGAGGAGGGAGAGGAGGATGGTCGTGTCTGATTCTGAGCCTTAAGTCTGGGAGCTCATCCCATCTGCTGTTTGTGTTCTGAGAGCCTCTGCTTCGCTGCCCACTGGACATTTTCTACTTCCTGTCACAGAGCCCAGCACGGGTCACTCTATCCCCGCTCTTCACGAGCAGTCCCATTCACCTGGCCTAATGGAACGGTGCATTAGGAGCTAAGCAAAGAGGAAGGGCTGGCAGCCTCCCAGACACTAGATGCTTCCGGGAAGGACATTTCATTAGATAATAGCTCCCGTCCGGGCATGTGTCCACAGGATGTGAACACTCCACACTGCTCTGCACTCAACCTCTCCATCCTTGCCTCTCAATCGGCCCTTTCTTCTTCCCACTCCCCATCTCTTTAGTATCTCTCAGCAGGCAATGACCTCCTTTTTGTACCAATGGAGACACACTGGGTTCCTGCCGGTATTACTTACTCAGTCATTATTTTCTCCACCAAGTCTCTTTACGGAATCCGTGACACCCTTCCGGCTTCTCTGAGTCCTCCGTGGTCTTCTTTCTTCCTCTCCTCTTTTCTCTCTCCCTGTCTTCCTTTTTTTCTTACAAATTACCAGTTTCTAGGCTCCACAAGCCTTTTCTCTCTGCATTCCCTGGAATGGCTTTAAATATAACCACCGTGCCCCTCCCTTACGGCCAGGTGACATCACTCCGAGACCCTCCATTGCTGTCCATTCTACTCCTGAATATCACCTGGTAAAAAGATCTTTAAATTCTTTTTATTTCCATACTGAGAATTGAAGCCAGGACATGCTAGGCAAGCACTCTACCACTGAATTACATCTCCAGACCTTTAAACAAATAGTTTATGTTTTGTTTATTTATTGAGACAAGGTCTTACTGTATAGTCTGGTTGGCCTAAAACTCACTCTGTAGACCTGGTTGGATTTGAACTCACAGAATCTGCCTGTTGCTACCTTCTGAACGATGGGATTAAAGGTGTGTGATTCTATGCCCAGTTGGGGAGGGGTTGGGTTTGTTGTTGTTGTTGTTGTTTGTTTGTTTTGTTGTTTTTTAGGGGGTTTTGTTTTTTAAGTTAAGGTCTCCCTGAATTGTCTAGGCTGGTCTTGAACTCTCTCTGTAGGTCAGGCAGGTCTTAGACTTGTGATCCTCTTCCTTCCTAAGTAGCTGGGGTGCTGGGCCTGTGTCAGTGTGGATTCCTTAAATTCCACACAGCAGACTCCAGGATGTATCATCCTTCACAAGATCTAGTCTCCTCCCAGCTTCCTTTCTGAGAAGATAAGCTCCAGAATCCACCAGCTGCCCAAGCTCTCAGGAGCTGGAGTCTCAGCTCCTCCTTCCCCTGGCTCACCAACATCCAACAGCCACAGACTGCAGTGATTTACTGTAAACGGCCTGCGAACCATGAGGCCACTGCTTTGTTTTTTGTTTTCAGCTTTTTGGTGGCCTCGGCTAGTCTCTGCCGTACTGCCATTATCAGGGGGGCCTTAAATAGACATGATGCCAGGGGAGCAAGCAGGCAGTCCACCCACATTTACTGAATTAACGAAAACCTTGTCTATCAGCTCCTGCCTTAGGCGGCTGTTGCCTCTTCCATTGTCCCCCTTTACAACCACTGTTCATACCCACTTTGTGGTCAGCTTTCGATGGCAGGAACGTAGAATGGTTTTTTTCTTTTCTTATGGTTTTTATTTAAGTTTATTTTATGGGCATTGGTGTGAAGGTGTCAGATTCCCTGCAACTGGATCATCAGACATTGTGAGCTGCCGTGTGGGTGCTAGGAATTGAACCTGGGCCTCTGGAAGAGCAGTCAGTGCTCTTAACCACTCACTAAGCCATCTCTCTAGCCCTGAATGATTTTTTTTAAAAAACATGGTTTCTCTATATAACACTGGCTGTCCTGGAAGTTTTGCTATGTAGACCAGGCTGGCCTCAAACTCACAGAGATCCTCCTGCCTCTGCCTCCTGAGTGCTAGAATTAAGGCATATTCCATTATACCCAGATTTTTTTTGCTTGTTTATTTTTGAGTCAGAGTCTCACTATGTAGCCTTGGCTGGCCAGGAACTCACCATGTAGACTGGGCTGGCTTTGAACTCATAGAGACTTTCCTGTCTCCTAAGTATTGGGATTAAGGTATACCTCCACCGTTGGCATGTCTCCCTAGTGATTACTTTCTGCTACCCTTGCCCTTATAAAAATCTCTCCTCCTTGAATGTGGGAGTGAGCAAACTGAACCTGCCAACTTGATGAGATGCCATGCTCCCATTTGGTGAGAAGGCTCTGACTTCCACCCTGGGTGCCCCCTCTTACTGACTTTCCGAGTCAACCCCTCTGTTTCTCTGTAGCCTGTGGAGAGGCCCATGCGCCAAGGAACCGAGGAAGAACCTCCAACAGGCAGCCAGTTTGAAAGCAGGTTTGCCAAAGATGGTGAGCGAGGCTGGAAGAGGATCCTCCCTGGTCTGAGTTAGATGGGTTCATAGGCCTGACCGATACCCTGACTGCAACCTTGGGAGAAAGTGGAGTGATGTGGGTTTGCTGTCTTAAGTTCCTAGATTCTGTGGTGGTTTGTTATATAGCAGTGGTTCACTGATCTATCCATCAAAGCTCAGTTTATCACTGTAAAATCTAAGTTGTCTAATACTCTATGGCAAACTGTGGCTCATGCGCCGATGAAATACAGGAAGATGCTTGGGAGACCCCACTGCTGTGAAGAGGTCTTCAGGACACTGGAGTGTTGTCCTGTGTTTGGTGCTAGGGAGTGAATCCTGGGCTTTGCACACACTAAGCTCATACTGTGCTAGTGCCTTTGTGGGGCTCACTAGATTTGCTCCCCAGGGCCTAGGAAGATAGATGGATTTTTACCTTCCTGCTCTGAAACCTGCAATTTTATTTATTAGTGAGACAGGGCATCTTCTATTGGCATGCATATAAAGATATTTAATTAATCCTCCCTTTCCTTTTTTTGGGATAGAATCTCACTAGGTAGTTCAGACTAGCCTGGCATTCCTTATAGACAAGGATGACCCAAAATTTATGCATCTCCTGTCTAGCCCCCGCTAAGTGTGGGATTTTAGGCATGCACACTGTCCATGTCTTTCTATTATCTTTTTGGCTATCAGTTGTTGAAATGGAAGCAGAATATATATATATATATATATATATATATATATATATATATATACACACATATATTACATATTACATATATTACATATACACACACACATATATATATGTAACATATGAATGCTTGGTGGTCAAAAGAGGGTGTCAGATCTCCTGGAACTGGAGTAACAGATGGTTGGGAACCTTGGGTGCGGGGAACCGAATCTGGCTCCTCTTCAAGAACAGCACGTGTTCTTACGCAGTGATTCATCTCTCCAGGTCCGTGGCTGAATTAATTTAACTAGTCAGCTACTGTCAGATAACTGTTTTCATCCCAGCATTCACTGCGAGGACTATTCTCTGTAAAGTGAATTCCTAGCTGGACAGTGGTGGCACACATCTTTTCATCCCAGTACAGAGGCAGGCGAATCTCTGTGAGTTCAAGGCCAGCCTGGTCTACAGAGAGAGGTCCAGGACAGGCTCCAAAGCTACAAAGAAACCCTGTCTTGGAAAAAAAAAAAAGATTCCTAAAGATTAAGTAGAGTCAAAGGGACCCAGCTTTTGAACTTTTTAAATATATTGCCAAATCCCTTTGCGTTTGACCTGAACTATTCTGTGCTCTACTGTGTTTTTACCTACCAACATGTGAAAGTACCTCTGTCTGTCTCTTGGGGATTGGATGGTGGTATGTTTTGATGGGACACTCAGCTATGGGTGTTGTGGGAAGGAACAGAGTTGGAGTCTGGGAGGCTGGGCAGAACACATGGAGTCCCCCAGATGTGTCTGGGTCCTTTATTTCAATGAAAAGTGCTTCAGTCAGACCCCAGCAGGACAGAGGGGGCATGGCCTAATTTGGTCACGTAGGGAGCATTTTGTGGGAGTTTTTCCAAAGAGAGGATGAACTGACAGAAAGTCAGAAGGACCTGACACTAAGAACACCGGACTTTTGTAGCGGCACTGGGCTGTAGAGCCAAGAGGAGCTGTGGCCTCTGTGAGAGATGGAGGTGCAAGCTAAGGGACAGATCATGCAGGGAGCAGAGGCATTTTTTTTTTAAGTTTTTCAAGACAGGGTTTCTCTGTGTAGCTTTGGAGCCTATCCTGGTTCTTGCTCTGTAGATCAGGCTGGTCTTGAACTCACAGAGATCTGCCTGCCTCTGCCTCCAGAGTGCTGAGATTAAAGGCATGCACCACCACTGCCCAATGAACAAGGCAACTCTTTTTAAAAAAGCATTTAGTTGGTGCTTGCTTACAGTTTCAGAGGTTTAGTCCATTTTCATGGCAGGGATCATGGTGGCATCCAGACAGGCACGCTAGAGAAGTAGTTGGAAGTTCTACATTTGGATCCGCAGGCAACAGAAAGAGAGCCACTGGGATGACTAGGGTTTTTAAAACCCCAGAACTTACCACAAATGACACACTTCTTCCAACAAGGCTGTATCTACTCAACAAGGTCACACCTCCTAATCCCTCTCAAGCAGTGCCACTCCCTGACGACCAAGCATTCAAACGTATGAGCATATGGGGGCCATTCTTAGTCATACCATCGCAGAAAGGGGCTTTTCCAGATAGCTCAGTTACTCCTGTGCCTCTTCCAGGAAACTTAGCTGTTCTTAGAGTGTCTCTCAGTTGTCCTTACAGCTTATATAAACTTGGCAAGGGAGGGGCTTAGTAAATCTAGTTAGTTTCAGGGACTTCCTGAATCTATTTTGAGTTGTGTACACCTAGTCTTAACAAGCTTCCCTGCAGGAAGGAGTATTCCACCTCCACTCTGTCTTCATGAGCCTCCGCCTTAGGTGAGAGGTTTTCACCTCAGAGGAAACTGCTGTTCAGCGGAGATCAAGGAATCTATGTGTCCAGCACAAACAGGACAAAGTAGCAGAATTTCCAGCCCCACCTGCAACTTTGATGCCAAGTGAAGTGGCAGCTTGGGTAAGGTTCAGTGTGAGAGTCACTCCTCCACCTCTCCAACTCAGAGCTAAGGTTCTGGAGGCTCCAGTTCACAGCCTGGCTCTGGCACCTCCTATATTAATTGCTTTTCTAGCACTATGATAAAACACCATGGCCAAGGCAACTTCCAGAAGGAAGGGCTTATTTGGACTTACAGGGAGAAGCGTCTGTCATGAAGAAGAATCATGGCAGCAGGCAGCAGGCATGGCACTATACGAAGGATGCTGAGAGCTCCCATCTTGAACCACAAGCACAAAACAGAGTGAACAAGGATCGGTGTTCGTCTTTAAGCTCTCAAAAGCCGGTGCCCAGTGACCTGTTTCCTCCAGTGAGGCTACAGTATTCACAAACAGCACCACCAGCTGGGGAACCAGTGTTCAAATACAGCTGAGGTTATGGGGACATTCTCTTTCGGATCACCACACCTCCATCAGGGCAGGAAAGGTGTGATGGAAGAACTCAGCTCACAGCATCAGGACCCTGCAGTGGAAGCTGTTCATGGGCTGACTGACTGGGAAACAGGAAGCGAGACCGGAAGGGGCCAGAGAGGATATTACCAAGGACCTGTTCCCCATAAACTGCTTCTACCAGCCATGAGGAAACCCATTGCTTTACATGTTAACCTAAAAAGTAATCATTTTAAAAAGACGAATAACCTGGTGGGCACATTTCGACATTCAGACGGAAGGAGCTAGCCCCTGGTCCATGGTGGGCATCCTGGCAGTGCAAGTGAACTTGTCTTTCTTCAGGGCTTCCTGAGTCAGATGTGGAACAGACCCCACCTCTGCCAACTAGAAATTAATCTCCCTTGCTCCCTATGTGATCAAGCCTTTGTTTCTTCAGTGCCTCTGGCTTTTTTCCCCTTCTCCCAAGGAGCCAGCTTGTTCCCACCTGGGGATTTCCAGAAGCGTCCCGTCTTTCTGTACCGAAAAGCTGTGTGTCTCTGGTATCATCTTCGTCTCTCTCCTGTTATACTTCCCGTGTTCCATATGGTGCCTGTGATACAGTTGGTGCTCAATAAGTGCACATTGAATTTAGCATCATACAATCTTTGAAGGTAGTGAATCATCAAATGGTGGCGGGCGGGGCGTGGGGGTGGTTCGTACTATACGGTGAATCTGCACTTGGAACATTGTCAAAGTACCTTAGATCCTGGTGCCACTACCAACCGTCTTGTGACCTTAGGAGGACCTCGGAGTCTCTGAGTGTCTGTTTCCTCCCTGGTAAAAGGAATATCATAATAATGGTTGCTATGAGGACTGAATGAGTTAAATAAATCTAAAAAAGGTAGAATCTGGCATACAGCAAGCACACTATAAAAGTTTAAGTCTAAAGAAGGTAGAATCTGGCATACAGCAGACACAATATAAATGTTTAGTCATTATCAGACTTCAGTTGCCAGCTGCGAGAGTCTGAGAAGGTCAGAGGCTGAAGTACAAAATGGCTGCTCCTTCCATCCCCCACACTCCTGTGGCCCCAGGGACACTGCCTGGGCCAAGTAACCACTCAGCCCTTGATGTCGAGGGTACTTGGAGGAGAGGCCACTAGAAGTTTCTAGAGAAAACCAAGACCTCACTGGCTAGGAGATGAGGCCACCGTGGCTTGGTGGGGGTTAAGTCCAACCAGAGTGTGTTTATTTTCCCCTCTGTCTGGAAAGGCCTCTCTGGTCTCCATGGCAACATGATTTCCTGTCCTGGTTTTCCCTTGGAGGAGATACCTGCTAAATACAGAGGCTGAATACAGGGTGGAGGCCAACATGGGGGCTGCTTTCTTCAACCGCCTCCCCCACGTAAGCTAAGTGGCTAGCCTGGCCAGGGGCCATGTCACAAGAGCCTTTGTTTACGAGTGCAGACATCCAACTTCGGGTGACGTCATGGAATCCAGTCTGGAATCCTTGCTACGCCCCATTTTCTTTCTTTCTTCCTTTTGGAGGGCTTTGTTACTGAGGCCGAGGGCAGGCTCAGGCACAATCTCCGGTTTGCTAAGAATATTTTCAAATCCTCCTAGCCGCAGACCATACCCCGGATCTGGAAGCTTCCCTAGCAGCCATTTAGCCATTCCTTCGGCCAGTTATCAGTTATTTAGTTCATTCAGCAAACATCTGCATCGTGGGTTAAACGCCCAAACTGTTCTAGGGTTGAAGAAGCAGAGATGAATAGACCTGGTCTTTTGTCTTAAGCAGCTGTAACCTTGGTGAATGGAAACAGGGTGAATGACTAGACCCTGCAGTAGGGTTGAGGCCCTGCACAAGCCCCCTGCAGAGGTGGTATGGGGCTGAAGTGAACAGCAAAATCTCTTAGACCTGCCTGCATTCTATTCGGTTCCTAGACTCAGTAGCCTTAATCAGCTTCTGCCCCGAGTCTCCATCTTCTCATCTGTAAAATGGGGACAGCAATGGGGGTAACCGTGGGGAAGCAGTAAACAGCACGGTGATTAAGAGTTTTCATTTTGCCAGGAGTTGGCTCAGCTCTTAGCTCTCCTTGGCCCAGCTCTGTGGCTTGTGGCAAGCGGCTTAGCCTGTCTGCCAGAAGTTGCTTTCTGAACTTGGCATCCTGTTCTGTGTGGAGCCTTCAGCCCTTCTCCATGTTGCCGCTGCCTCGGGACCTCCTGCTAGCCTACAGGAGCAATCTCCCGGCTCTCCCCGAAGTCCTGGGGGGCAACAGGGGACAGATCCTCAGCAAAAACTGGAGCATCTATGTGGTTAGCCTTTTTCATCTGTATTTGGATGTATGCATGCATGTACATGTGGCATGTGTGTTGGGGGGGGTGTCCTCACACACATGACACCAAGGATGACCTTGGGTGTCATCTTCAGGAATCTCATCTACCTCCTTTGAGTGTCTTCTTTGTCTGGAGCTCACCTATTAGGCCAGACTGGAATCTGCCTGTCTCCCGCTCTGCAGCCTGAGATCACAGGGGTGGGCCACCACAGCCAGCATTTTGACAGGACTCCTGGGCATCAAACTGAGGCCCTCGAGCTTGTGCAGCAAGCTCGTTACCACCTGAGCCATCCTCCCGGTCCCTGCAATTACTTCTTCATGTCATTACCCGGGGTTTCTTTGTTAGTGCTGCTAAGGAGGGGGTAATGTGTTGTGCCTTGCCAGAGATCCAGCTCAGGGCCCATTGCTTGCTAGGCCAGCTCTACCACTGAGATGTCATCCAGCCCTAACTATCTGTTTATTGCCTGTCCTTCCTCCCTGCCGGAAATAAGAGGCTGCGGGTGCCTCAATTTACCCTCTTATCTCTACCTCCAAGAATGTGGGTGGATTCTAGAGATCAAGGAAGCGTGAAGGATTGAAATAGCTGAAGAATGAAGTCAGCCCCGTGTGGCAGCTCACGCCCTGTTATCTCAACCTGTTGGAGGCTGAGGCAGGAGGATTGTTGTGAGCTTGAGGCCATGCGGGGCTACATAATGAATCCCAGTCCAGCTTAGGCCATCACAAAAACAAAACCATGAGGAAGTCAAACTTACTCTTTTACCATACGATCTTTTTAGTGTAATTAAGACTCACCAGCCTTTTACATTATGCTTTAGGCACACCAATCTCAGAAGCCATGCAGCTGCACACTACTGAGCTCTCTAGAACAGATCTTTCTCCCCTGTCTGGTAGTGCCGTCCTCATACATTAGCTTACATATGTTCCAAACAACTGCTTGAAGGAGACAGTGTGAGGGGTGTGCTGCTGTTTCTTCAAGGCCTTTCCCACCCCCTCTCCATCCCTGTAGAGCCACTTGAGGCATTCATTGATCCTCAGCTCCAGGGAAGCAGGGACACTCTGGAACCTGACGCACACCCGATAATGTTTCGTTGTTTGTTTCAGCGCCGGATTAGGAAATCCAGACCTTGAGCAACCAGAGCGAGCTCTTCTTCTGACAAAGATTGGGCTAACGGTGGTGCGATGATGATTAGATTATCACTTTAGTCTCCTAAAAGATGAGCCTCTGGGCTCGTCTGGGAAGGGCTTTCTCGGTGAGGTAAATTGAGGTGGGAAGGCCTGTCCGGTGCTGCGGCACCATCCCATTCATTCATGTTCCAGACTGAATGGAAAGGAGAGAGCAAGCTGAGTACCAGCATCCGCTTCCTCCTGCTTCCTGACTTTGAACGCAACGTGACCCTTAAGCAGCCACTGCTATGACTTCACCAAGCATGATGCGCTCTGCCCTGGAATTGTGAGCTGCTTTTGTCAACTTATACAAGTCACAAATTGTCAGTATGGGAAGAAGATGTTTTAGTCTCTTATCCTTGGACACTGTTGAGTGAAGAAGTGAAGCTATCAATTTCCTAAGGCTGTGTTCTCTCAGTGATCTATATCTATGGAGAGCCAAGCCACTGGTGCTAGTGACTATCAGGGTTGTCAACTCTCTATCAGGGTTGCTTATGGTACCTAAGCCAGCTGGAAGGGTGCTTTCTGGCCTTAAAAAATGCCCAGGAACATGAGGAGGGCTGCTTGTTTGTTGGGGTTTTCTGTTCCACCCTGTCCCCCAGCTATTTAGTCCCAGAGAAAAATCACACAAAGGACTCTATAAGTTATAAGCTGATTGGCCCATTAGGTCAGGCTACTTATTAGCTAATGCTCATATCTTGATTAACCCATTTATTTTTCTGATCTATGTTAGCCATGTGGCTCAGTACCTTTTTCAGTGGAGCAGCTCACATCCTGCTGCTTCGGTGATCTGGGCAGGAGTGGGAGGAATCAGCTTCCTCCTCCCCAGAATTCTCCTGCTCTCCTTGCATCATTTCCACGTCCTGTCTGGTTTTCCCGCCTACACCTCCTGCCTGGCCAATCAGCATTTATTTAAAACATGATTGACAGAATACAGACAATTCTCCTGCACCATTTAGTGATATACACCTGTAACATGAGAGTAGGGCCTGGATAGGGAGCTGGCATTCAAGCAAGTTTTAAGAGATGGCAAATGTTACTCGTAAGTGACAGGGTGGGGACAAAGTATTTCAAAAAGCCCTCTGGTGGCAATGACAAGGTGGGCAGTCTTGAGGGCAAGAAGCAGGACCATGTTGTGAGTGGGTGTGTGGTGTAGATGTGATCAGGGCAGATGATGAGAGAAGGCATTAGACAAAATGTACCCACTGCCCTGACCAGCAAGGTGGCATGTATCTCAGGCAGAAGGATCACTTGAGCCATGGAGTTCAAGACAAATTTGACCACCAAAGCAATTCCTCCCTTTAGAAATATGTAAACTAGGGGCTGGAAGATGGATCCGTGGGTAAAGTATCTGCTGCACATATGTAAGAACTTGAGTCTGGATCCCCAGAACTCACATAAGGTCAGACATAACAGCATACATCTATACCAAGTGCTTCTACAAGATGGGAGGTGGAGACAGGAGCATCCCTGGGAGCTCACTGGTCAGCTAGCCTGGTGTATGTGGTAGTGGATGACGGGGGACCTCTCTCAGAGAGAGCAGAAGGTGAGTACCAACACCTGCAGTTGTTCTTGTGGCACACATGCCTGTGCACACACAAAGATAGTTAATCAATATATTAATATATTAGATGATATTATAATATATTAATCTCTATCTTGAGATATATAGATTCTCCCTCTCACTCCAGATTCTCTTTGTGGGCCTAGAGAAAACTAGTGTTATTGTTCGTTTGGGGCTTTTCTGCTCTGCTGGTTGCTAGGTGTACATCAGTGAATCAGACAGAGAAAACAACTGCCTTTTCCAAGCCCACAGATCAGTGGAGAAGCAGTGAACAGGACGAGCAAGTGCCCTCACCATGCTGGTTGGCTAAATGTTGATGCAGCCGTGAAGGGAAAGCTTGAAGGGGAGAATGAAGAGATGATCAAGTAGAAAAAATGATTTAGCCGTAAAGTTTCCAATCTGTGGCCTTCAAAAATCATCCTAACAAGCACACACATAAACACTTTTTCTTTATTTTTGTTTTTTGTTTTTTTAAGACATGGTTTCTCTGTAGCTTTGGGACCTGTCCTGTCTTCCGAGTGCTGAGATTAAAGGTATGTGTCATCACCGCCTGGCTTACTTTTTCTTTAAACTGAAGCATTTCTTTATTATGCAGCTCTAGGCTGATCTTGAACTCTCAATCTTCTTCTGTCTACTTCCCCACTGCTGGAATCCTGGGCGAGCGCCATCACATTCCACTTTTTAAAAAACTACCATTATGATTAAAACAATCATTCTACATAAAAGCCAAAGCATTGGCCAGTGGTGCACACCTTTAATCTCAGCATTCAGGAGGCAGAGGCAGGCAGATCACTGTAGGTTTGAGGTCAGCATGATCTATAGAGTGAGTTGCCAGGGCTACACATTGAAACCCTGTTTCAAAAAACCAATAAAACAAAAGCCAAAGCATTGATCCAATCTGTCTATAAATACTAATTTATTTATCTCCATTCTATGGAAAAGGGAATCAAAAGTCTGTGATTGGAATTGTTAGCCAATTGAGATGTCACAGTGGTAAGCTGTGTATGGTAGAATATGCCTTTAATTCCAGACAGAGGCAGATAGATCTCTATGAGTTCAAAGCCAGCTTGGTTTATATAGTGAGTTCCAGATCATACACAACTACATGATAAAACCCTCTTTAAAAATAAATGTCACAGTGGCTGCAGCTCAGGACTTCAGAACTTCGGTCTAATTAACACACCAAAACCTTGAGGGGGGCTATTGCTTGAGACAGGACTTCATGTAGCCTGGAACTCACTGTGTAGCCAAGGATGACCTTGAACTTCTGTCTCCTCTTTTCATCTCCTGAGTCTTGGGATCAGAAATGTGTGGGGCACCACACCTGTTTTTATACAGTATTGGAGATCAAACTCAGGGTTTTGACGTGCTAGGTAAGCATT